CTGAGGACCTGATGAGACAGGGGGACATGGAGCAGGAACCATCACACACAGATGTCGAGGAGCATATGAGGGCTGACCACAGTGGGGCTTCACCAGAGCCCCCTATGCCCAAGGGAAGAGCCAGATCCACAAGCCGGAGACGTACGTCAGGCTCAGAGTCTGGGCAGCCCCAGAAGCTGCGAGCCAGGGATGAGTTCTGAGCAAGGCGTGACAGCAGGAGGCAGGGCCACACGCTGGCCTGGTAGCTTCGGGACATGGGGTGGAGGTGTTTAGGGCAATTTATTAGTTCACTTGCCCCCAAAATGGGGAGGGATGCAGCTTGCTTCTCAGTGACATCAGATCATGTCAAACAAAATGATTGCATCATGAGGAGAACAGGAAGTGCCCTGGTGCCCAGATTCATATTCACTCCCTTGACCTGAGAATTATTTTGTCACTTAGAACTAACAAGCTAGGCTCCCCCCATTTCTTTCTTCCAATAGAACCATCCATATTTGTATAGAAGCAAAGCAGGGGAAAGTTCTTGGGACCTTTTTGGGTGGGGGATTTTCTTACTCTTCAGAGATTGGGTGAGAATGAGAGAAGCATCTGGAATTCCCAGGCCAACCACCTGCCATCTCCTTCCCCCTGGACTAGAGAGTCCCAAGATTGAGAAGGAGGGTCAGGGGTGTGACTGCAGGAAATAAAGGACAAATGAACAACCAGAGACTGAGAGGAGTTGTGGGCCTATTTGGCGAGAGAGAGAAGAGTCATCTGCCTGGTGGATGGGAAAGGAATTGAGATTTAATTAACAAATGATGGAGAGAGACTGAGTCCTGGAAGAGGGGAAAACAAACCAGGCTCCAAAGACTCACTCCCCTCCCAGCAGATACACGTGATGGAGGGGAGGGAGAGCTGTGCTCTGCTTGGCATGGGCCTGATCCTTGTGAGGTTGAGGATCTCCTCTAGGGAACTTGCTACCCTGAAACAAGGCATCTTACACACTCTCACTCACTCTTACTTACAGGAGGAGCAGGGCATTGTTCTTATCCCAGCCTGGACAATGATAAATCTGCTGTCACTGCCCAGGATATTAGCATTCAGAGATGGGATTATATGGTAGTCAAACAGGAGCTGAGAAAGAGGGAATATTGAAAAGAGCAATAACCCCATTTCTGGGAGGGATTAGAACCAGAGAACAAGCCAGGCTACATGAAATGGACAGGAAGGCAGAGACAGCCTAATAGCAGGGGGCTGCAGGGCACGACTGAGGAGCATTGGCAGAGCTGTGGGGGGAACCAAGGACAGAAATACAAGTGTAGTATAATGATTGGGTCATTATTCCATACACAGCCATTGGCTCCCAGACTGTCCAGTCAGAGCTGCTGTGTATGGTTAATCTCATCCCAGTGAGCTTTGGAGGATGAGGAGGTTGAGCAGATGCTACCAAACCTTTTACACTCTAATGACTTGAGGAGTTGCTCTGATGCATATCTACTGATACCAGTTATTCATTCCCAACCACACCTGGCAACATCCCATCTTGTTTTATCCATTACTCTCACTCTATGGCCAGGAGCTGAAAGAAAAAAAAATCACTGTGTGGGTTTTAGGTTCCCACTCCCCATCCATTGGCAGTGTCACATCTCTCCTCCTATATAATTTCTTCCCTGTATTTGGGGAAGACTTGGAAACCGATTATTCTCACCAGCCTCCATAGGCCTGTCTGAGGTGACCAGGCACTGCAGCTGTGGTGGCTAGCTCTGGCCCATAGGTGGCCTGAGTGATTAGATTGATGCTTCCTGACGTCAGATGAGATCTCTTAAAAGGTATTTATCTCAGGATTGGGCCAAAGCTGCAGGAGAGATTAAAAGAGATTGAGGCCAAGATAATCCCCCATAGCAGCATCCTGCAAAAGCAGCTGTCAAAAGGCCTTCAAGCAAATGCTTTTGCCAGCCCACCCAATACTATTCCCCATCCCACCTCTGCATCCTCCTGGGGCCATGATCCCAGCCCTGCCCCCATACCTGAGGGTTTCTATTGTGTGGGGGTGGCCAGTATACCACAAGGGGCACAGGCCCTTCTTCCCCTGCTGTCAGGTTACGACCTGAGCCCTGTCCCAATGAGGGGCTATTTCTCAGAAGGCTGTTGGGATTCAGTGTCTGGCACTGCCCCTTCACCACACATTTTATGATCCTAGCGCTCTCTGCCTAATCTTCATCTGATTAGTTTGTTACTAACAAACAAAGGGAGTCAAATCTTTGTGCAGTGTTTTTCCCTTCAGAAGCAGCACACTCTCCTGTCCCTCCATCCCCTCCCATACCACCTGCTTTGCATTAAGTCCCAATCCGATTTCCGCAACTCTCTGGTGTCTGATTTAATTTGCCTGACGTTGCTCCTAGAATCAGCCCTCCCCAAATCACCTCTCCCCCCACCCCCACACACACAGCCTCCCAGCTCCCCATGGGGAGATCAGTCCTGGGAGAGACTGATATACCAAGAGTGAGAGAGGGACACAGAGAGTGTGGATAGCTGGCGCCAGGACAGGAAGGACTGAGTGGGATCGCTGCGTGACTAGGGGCTCCCATCCTGACGGGGGACTAAATCCCCAGGGGACAAAGGGAGTGCCAACCAGGAGGGGACAGCAGCCACCTCACCCCACAGACCACGGTAAGGACATTCCTTTGCTGCTGCTTGCCCTGAGCCTAACTCTGTCTCCTTGGCATTTGGGTGGCTCTGTATGCCCAAGTGGGTCCCAGGTGCCTTATGTGACCCTCTCTGCAGGTCTGGGGGGGCCCTGGGTGTTGGTCTCATTTTATACATAGATGTGTAGCCTGTGGAAGGGGATGTTTCTATAGGAGGAAGGCTGGGGTTAAAATCAACTCATCTCTATCGTACATGGGATGCAGAAACCCCTTCCTAGCAGGGCAAATCAGAGCAGTTTCCAGCATGTCACAGGGGTATATAACCCCCCTTGTAGGGAGCTGGGAGTCAGACTCTCCAATAGGACCCCACACACTCATTGTGCTCCCCACCCGTCTCTTTGCAACAAGCTCCTATCCCATTTGGAGAAAAAGAGCAAGATCAAGGTAATTTTATCCTTGCCTTTTGATCTCCGAGGCAGAGGAAGGGGATCATCTCTCTATCCAGCTCTGAAGACACTCAGGGTTACCAGGGCAAGTACACAGCACCTGCCTAGGGATTACACAGGGACCATGACATCCCCTGTTAATCCTCAGCCCTTCTGTGCCTTTTGCTTTTTTATTTAAGGCTCTCCAGCCCCAGCTGAGCTGCAGCCCCCTTTCCAAGATGGGTGAGGCCACGTGGGCTGATATAAACCGGAGGGTTCAACCCCTGCCCTCGCAGCCAGCTCCTCCCAACGATTTTCTCCACTTCCCATTCAAACAGGATGAGGTGATGTGGGTGACTCCCTAGGCGTGCTTACCCTTCGGAGTCGGTGCTGACTCTAGTGCCCCAATGTGGTACTGGGGGGCTGTGGTGCAGGGCGGGGGGGGCACTCTCCACTCAGCCATTACAGTTGGTTTATGATATGTTTAATACGCCTGTTCCAGTGACACCCACGTGCCCAGTCAGTGGTGCTAAGCGCTGTACTAACGCATACGAAGACACAGGCCCTGGCCGGAAGAGCTTATAGGCCAGGAACATGAGCGATACGTGAAGGGGGCAGGGCATGATGATAATTGAATAGACCCATTTTTTATAAACAAAGATAGATTTGCTTAGTTTATTATCAATAGATCAAGTGCCTGCTGGGATTTGACTGCTTATAGGCATCACAGCAGAGGAAGATCAGTTGGAGGCAAAGGTGCTGGAATTAGGGGTGCTGCCGCAGTCCCTGGCTTGAAGTGGTTCCCATTATGTACAGGGTCTACAGTTGGTTAATGGCTCTCAGCACCCCCAGTATGCAAATTGTTCCAGCTCCCCTGGCTGGAGGCTTTTCATGGCTAAGAGGCAGCCTGGGAAGAGGCACAGGAAAGTGTGCTGATTTCACTGGAATGAGGAGGAGAAATGGGTGAGGAGGGGAAATGTGATCGACGACAAGAGCTGTTCAACCAGGAAGAGGGGAGCGGTGGCGAAGAAAAGAAACTTGAATATAATGAGGGAAGCTAATGGAGGGATTCAGCGAAGGGGGCAGACTAGCTCCAATACCCCAGCATGGTGCTAGGGATGCTGTGCTGCAGTGGCCTGGTGACTCAGTAGGGGGCACCATCTCCCCCAAGTCATTTCTGATCCCAATGCCCTAGCACAGTGGTAGGGATTGCTGTGCTGTTCGAGGTATCATCTTCCAGCTGAGTCATTAATCAATAGGCTGACCTATATTGTCAAAACATACTAGTGGTTTGGGGTTCCTCAGTTTTTGGGAAATGATGAGCAAAACACCTTAAAGGGGCTTGATTTTTGGAAAGTGATGAGCACCCACCCTCTGAAAACCAGGCCCCTTTAAGGTATCTGAAGTTGGGCACCCAAAAATGGAGATACCTGGAATTGCTAGCTGCTTCTGAGAATATAGGCCCTTAATCCATGCTAGGTTTGATAGATCCATGGGTATTTCCCCCAAAATCAGGGCGTTAATTCCAATGTCCTGGGCCAATCTCCAGCTTGGGCAGGGGTTCTTAAACTGGCGTCATGACCTCTCAGGGTGTCGCGAGGTTATTATGTGGGGATCACGAGCTGTCAGCCTCCATCCTAAACCCTGCTCCACCTCCAGCATTTATAATAGTGTTAAATATAAAAAAAGTTTTTAATGTATAAGGTGGGGAATCGCACTCTTAGAATCATAGAATATCAGGGTTGGAAGGGACCCCAGAAGGTCATCTAGTCCAACCCCCTGCTCGAAGCAGGACCAATTCCCAGTTAAATCATCCCAGCCAGGGCTTTGTCAAGCCTGACCTTAAAAACCTCTAAGGAAGGAGATTCTACCACCTCCCTAGGTAACGCATTCCAGTGTTTCACCACCCTCTTAGTGAAAAAGTTTTTCCTAATATCCAATCTAAACCTCCCCAGAGGCTTGCTGTGTGAAAGGGGGTCACCAGTACAAAAGTTTGAGAACCACTGAGCTTGGGGTAGTTCCATTCTGCTTCCTTTAGTTTTCTTTGCTGATTCAATTCTGAGACTGGATTCTCTTCCACTTCCTGTCCTACATTTTCGTGCAGTATCACTCTTAAGCACCTGCCATGTCCTTCCCCAGAGGCAGCTGCATTTTAGAGCTGGGAGGTGACTCACTCTCTGCAAATCACTTTGGGATGAGGCACAGTGGAGGCTATGGGGAAGGTAGAGTTATTATTATCTCTCAGCTGTGTCTCCTTGTCCTTCTGAGTCTGGAAACAATTCCCAAATTTCATTTAGAATGTTTCCTCCAAGGGATTTAAGGGTTCTGATGGAGACCTGAGGCTGAGCCATAGCTTCTCTCACTCCCTCTATATTTAGCTTTTCTATCCCTCCTTAACAGTGTTCCTCTGGCCTTTTGATCCTCCTACCAGCTCTGTAAACCCCTCATCTTGTGCAACTCCTTTCCATGTAGCAGCTTCCCACAACTCTGGCCCCCAATTCCAGAGTTTAAAAACATAGTCAAGGAGAGAGAGAAAGAACTGAATAGGCCATGGGAGGAAAGGCATATTGGGTGAGGCTGGAAATGGGATGAATAGTGGGTAAGGTGGAGGATCCAAGGAGGCTGCTCCAAATGTGGCAGGAGCTGCAGAGTAGCAGGAAGTTCTCAGCCCCACATGGTGGAAATGGGGGAGAGAGAAGTCGGTGAAGTCAACTAAAGCAAGCCTCTGGAGCGGTGTAGCACCCAAACAGCCAGGATGCTGGAGGCTGGATGCGAGGAATCTGCAATTGTCCGAGCCAGAGGAGATGGAGATGAGGATTTCAGAAGAGGGGCCTGGATTTCAGGAGCAGAGGCTGGAGGAGATGAGCCAGAGAGAAACATCCTGCAAGATGGTAGGTACAGCTTGAGGACTGCCCAGAGGTGACAGTGAGGAGGTACAGAGAACTAATGGCAGGAGTGTAGCACAGGGTCCATGCAAGGTGAGAGGGAAATGATCTGGTTTGATGTGAGCGGAAGCAGCTGAACAGAGCTGGGCACAGTCTCCAGGACATTGCTGATGCATGGGAGGGTGGAAGTGGGGTAAAGGACAGGGTCCAGAAAGATTACCTCCCATGCCTGAAAGGTAACTGATTCCTGGTTATGGGGGACTCTATTGTTCTTCATCAGTCTGGCCTGAGGAGTTGCAGGCTGGGGATGGCTGTACGGGATACACTCTGAAGTTAATGGACTATAAAAAGTGTGTCTGGTAGTGTTGCCAACTCTCATGATTTTATCACATCTCATGATATTTGATGCTTTTCCTAAAGCCCCTGCTCCTGGTTCTGTAACTACCTGAGAATCTCAGCTTTCATTTAAAAAAATACAGTTCTAGCCCTCGCTGCTGGGGAGAAGAGCTGGGAAACGGGAAAGAAATAAGGAGGCACATATATTTTTGGTTTAAATCTCGTGATCTTCGGGCCTGACTCATGATTTTTGAACTAGTGGGGCTGGTGCTGGGAGGGATCTTTAGATCCTGTCTCCACTTAGTCAGCTGCTGCAGGAGAACAGGGCCCAGCAGCTTGTGCTGGATTCTGCCACATCGCCAACTTTTACTAGAGGAACAATTCTCCAAGCAGGCTGGGAGCTGGGGGGAAACAGCCAGTCCTCCCGGTGAATTCTGGGGGATTTTAGTGTCTCACCTACCAAACATCAGCTGGTTGTCTCAGCCCCACCACGTGGTGGGTCATGCTTACTAACCCCATTTCATAGCTGGGGGACCCGGGGTACAGCCACAGAGGAAGCTGGGATCAGTGTTGGGATTATTGATTTGCTAGCCATAGTCCATTTAGTCCACTAGAATATGCTGCCTCTAATGCTACTGAGCTGCCCCTCTGGGTGGCCACAGGTGACCCCGACCACTCAGCAACAGGCAGCTAGCAGAGAGGAGCCTTGGCTCACCCCTACAAGCATCAGTGCTAGCCCGAAGGTCACTGACTCTCACAAATGCAGCCATGGGCCATCCCAAAAATCCAAGGGCTTGTGACCTTGGCTGCTTTCCTGGACTCCAGAGGCTGCCCTGGGGAAGCTTTAGGGAAATCCAGGAACAACTCCCCTGTCGATCCTTCGATTGCATTTTTAAGGCTCTTTGCAAGAAAAAGAGCAAGAAATCAACTTGTGTGTAATGAAAGCTGAGATTCTGCTCTGCATCTCAAGAGGCCCCTGAACAGGTCTTTGAGAACCTTGAAATGTGGCTCGGGTTGGGGGGACTCAAGGAAGAGCCACAGAAACACTCGAGGGGTGGTGGAGTTGAGTTCTGGGGAGAAAGTCAAAGAGCTAAATCCAGCTGGCTTGGCAAAGCCAGGAAGAAAAGGAGAGACTTGAGAATTGTCTGCATGTGCCTGAGGAGGGCCCCAGCAGGGGCAACCACAAGGAAGGGGCTGAGACTGAGCCAAGGGAAAGGAGCTCAGGAACTGTGCTGAGGGGTCTGTGAGCCCAGGGAGCTGTCTCCCCAAGGGCAGGAGCTGGAGCCCATCACAGGGTAACTAGGAGCTAGAGGTGGATAAAGCACAGACTGTGGAAAGAGAGGATTCCCTCAAACAGGGCTAAGGCAACTCCTGCCTAACTGTTGGGAATGGCCAAAGTAACCCCTCAGGTGCTGGAAGGAGAAATCCTGCATGTACAGCCCATCATGTTTCTTGGCCTGGGAAAGCTGGGGTCCTGGCAAAGGGTCTGTCACTAACCTCGGGGCTAGCTGGGCCCAAGGAAACCTCCAAACCTGGAGCTGATCTCTGCCGACAAACAGGTGAGATTCAAATCACATGGGGCCCATCTGGGAATCTGACACCATCACCAGGGAAATGCTGAACTAACAAAGAGCAGGTGTGTAGGAGACAGGATGGGATCTGCAGACTGGGGCAGGAGCTGGAGTTACTGGAGAAAACTGGACATTTTAAGTAGATTTCAGAGAGCTGTGTAACTGACTCCCTCTCCGCTCTGACTTAGCACAGGTCACAGTGCTGTGTGACGCTAGAGATGTTTTTAGAGAAAATATGAATCCTGATTGCCTGAGATCTGTCACTCTCCCCATGAGTTGGGGAATGAACTGCATTTTCTTGGCCAAACCTCAACTGAGATGAGTCCATTCCTCCTTCTTACATTCCTCCCACAGGTTCAACCAGATACAGCACTCCACTTCCTGTCCCAAAGTGCCCTGTAATGCAGCTGTTAAATGGCTGCCAAGTCCCACTCCAGAGATGGCTGCATCTCAGCAGGTGGTCAAAGTGTTCCATGTGCACATGGAGTGTGTAAAGTCCTTTGAGATGCTGAGCAATGGGAGGTGTGAGGGAGAGGCGAGACCTTCTAACTAGTGGCCTCTGACCGCACCCCGCCCCTGTTTTGGTCTCTCCAGGACTCAGGCTATCCCGAGTGGAGGGCCCATTGCTAGCCGAGCAAGATGGGTGAAATGGACCAGATGAGGCAAGAGGCCGAGCAGTTGAAGAAGCAGATTGCGGTAACACTGGAGATGGAGCCAGACCATGTGCCCCACTTTCTCCCCCCTTCCCATCTGCCCAGGGGAATCCCAGCCCAAGGGAGCTGCTTCACTCCGCCCAAAATAATCCTATCCTGAAGGAAGCCCTCCTTCCACAGCAGGGAATTCCCATCCAGAGAGAACTCAGCTCTCTCCTGCCTTAATCCCAAGAGCCCTTACTAAGAAGGCAACTACTAAACCCCCCTCCCCTCCAATAAGAAAGAAATGTGCATGGCATGTGGTAGGGATGAGTGGTGGGTGGTCTGTGAGGCCAGGGAAGGAATGTCACATCATAGAATTCAATTCCTTCCTCTCCTCCCCAGTATTTAATCTCCCTGTCCTTTGTGGGGTGCGTGGAGTGCACCCCAGTGGAGGGGCTTAGTGTGGGGAGAAAAGTAGATTTATAGCCTGGGGTGGGGGAGGAGGTGGGGGTTGTGCCCCAACTTATTCTTTATGATTATTTGTGTTATTACCATAGTGCCCAGGAGCCCTCGCCATGGCCCAGGAGCCTGTTGCACTGGGTGCTATACAAACAGAACAAAATGATGGTCCCCAACCCAAGGAGCTTACAATGGAAATAAATCTAAAGAGGTTTTCAAATCCTGTGCCTGAGTCTCTCTTGCCATTGCCTCCCATCTCTCATGCTTTCTCTGTCTCTTGCCACTTCCTCTCTCCCTGCAGGATGCACGGAAAGCCTGTGCGGACACTACACTTGCTCAGGTAGGAGATGGTGCTAGCCAACCTCAGCCGGGTGTGGATGTGCGAATCAGCCACAACCCCCAGGCTGGCCTTCCCAGAACAGCCTGGAGAGGAAATGAGGGATGGAGCCATGTGGCAATGTGGGGGGTGGGAGAGCCCCCTTCCCTGCTGGCAGAGGTTTAACTCTCTCTCTCCTTGGGGGAATCTCCCACCCCCCTAGATTGTGTCCGGGGTGGAGGTAGTTGGACGCATTCAGATGCGTACGCGGAGGACCCTGCGTGGGCACCTGGCCAAGATCTATGCAATGCACTGGTGCACGGACTCCAAGTGAGTGAAACGCTGGCTGCCCCTCTGCTTATTGAGCTGGTGCAGTGACAGGGAGGGGAGGGGGGGATGCTGGTGGGAGGGGCCCAATGGGAGAGGTGACACTAACAGGGCCTGGTTCCTCTCTCGTAGACTCCTGGTCAGTGCCTCGCAAGATGGAAAACTGATCGTGTGGGACACTTACACAACCAATAAGGTAAGAGTCAGGTGCACACACCAGTAGCCAGAATCACCTATTAGGGGAGGCCAGGAGTGGAGTAGCTGGGAGCTCCCCCTCAGCCAAACTTCTGCCATGCTCCTTGTCATATTGTGGTGTTCAGTGATCTGCTTCATTTAGTGGCTCAGTTCCAACTGCCTCTGCACTACATAACATGAGCCTCTTAAAGGTACAGTTCCCCAAGTCTTCCTTTCCCAGCCAGATTTAAAGATAACAATTTACAATCTATATTACATAACATACAATTCAAAATACTTACAATCCACCTACTGACTGAATTTACAATGTGTAATTAATCTTTGAGATGCTTTGCACCATTGCTTGGACCTGCAGGTCTACCTTGAAATATCAGTACTGCTATTGTCAGAAGGCAGAGTCCATTTATTCTGGAGTGCTAAGTGCTCGGGCTCTTCTATCTTAACTTGCTGTGCTTGTTACCTGTCTGAGACCTTCCTGGGCAAAATGGCAAACTCAGTGCCCCTTATCTCCCTTTCTTGTGGAAGTTGGAGAAGGTGTCACCTATTCCTCTTCAGTAAGTGTCTGTCTGGGGAGGCAACCTCAAGTGAAACCACTGCTATTCGCAGCTATTGTTTTTCATGATAGATATGCATGGTGTCATTTTCTTGAAGTGTTAGCAGCTCCTGGGAACCTAGGTCATAATGATTTTTGGGGCGGGGGGGTGGGGTTTGGCCTTTTCTGACTCTTTATACATCTGCAAGTCCCCAGTTTCTCTGACATCAGCTTCTATCATTACAGGCATTCTGGTTCTGTTTTCTGTGAAATAAATGTCAGCCAGTAACAACTTGTGCTTCATTGGTGATATTCTGTAATTTAATAGTGTTAAATATGGATCAGAATCTGACTCCTCAGCCTTTTTCAGTAGATACTTTATTATTTTGACTGTTTCCCACCAACCCATTGGAATGGGGATGATGGGGACTAGCAGTTATGTCTACTTAAGTACTTCACTGAAACTGCTTACACTTATGCCCACTAATCTGTGGCCCATTGTCAGATAGCATGAGGTTAGGTACACCATGTGTTTTAAGAACAGACTTGATATACTCAATCTAGTAAAGCTAGAGGGATAGCTCAGTGGTTTGAGCATTGGCCTGCTAAACTTAGGGTTGTGAGTTCAATCCTTGAGGGGGCCATTTAGGGATCTGAGGCAAAAATTGGGGATTGGTCTTGCTTTGAGCAGGGGGTTGGACTAGATGACCTCCTGAGATTCTATGATCTCAGGGAAGTGAGAATAATAGTACTCTTTTCTACCTTCGGTCTTGATCGCTGTGGACAATACCACCATCCTGCCTGTCACTCAGGCCCATAACCCAGGTGTCATCTTTGATTTGGAGCTTGTGACAGAGGGGGAATTTTTCATAATATTTTGGGTGACTATTGTATGTGCCTCAGTTTCCCCTGTGTTTGGCATAGTTAACTAGGGGAAAGGTCCTTTACTCTTTGGAGTGACCCAGAGATACAGGCAAGTCCAACGCTTAGCTACCTGGGGCCCATGCCCATGGAGAGTCCCAGAAGACAATGGCCGCTCCAATTGCCTGGACATTTGGCACCTAGCAACAAATGACCATGGATGGCCCATCCTCCTTAGGAAGCCAGCTGGAGAATAAAGGACTGGGGAGTGGGGAGCAGCAGGAGGTGTTGTATTGTGTGGGCTGCTGGAAGCAGAGGGAAGCTTCTGGTCTGGGACTAAAGAGGGAGCCAGGGGGCTCAGGATTGACCCAAATGGACTTTACTGTAACTTTCCTATGTTAACTAAGGACTTTCTATACTGCGTTCCAGATAGCTAGCAAACCCTTCTGCTTTTACAACACTGGCTGAGAGTCACTACAGATCAGGATGCATTGCTCCTTTTGGGTGTGCAAGTCTTCTCCAGGTGTCCAATTCAGGTGGACTCACTGAGGGGAGCTCATGGTGAGAAGCAGGGGCGTTGACGGCTCTGAGGTTGGGTCCCTGGAGGCAATGAAGGTAAGAGACCGACCCTAGTGACAGTGTGACCCTAGGGAGGCTGACACACAGAAGGGGTCCTCGACTGTTCCAGAGCCATTCAAGAGCACCCGGACCTGTGGATCCATGATAGGTGGTAGCAGAGGATGATTGTGACACAGTAGGGAGCCGTGTTGACCTCGGAATGTGGCAGGGGAGTTTCATTGGGGATGGGATACCTGAGAGCCTGTAACCTGAGCCAGGAGGGAGATGGGGGAGGTAACATCTCTGCCTGGGAAACTGGACAAAGGCTGCAGGAGAGAGCCTGCTGATGGGGTTTTGGTTTCAGTTTTGTGCTGTGTGGTGGAATGCAGGGAACCCCAAGGCTGGGGTCTAAGCTCCCTAGCCCCCCAGAAGGACTTGACTGAGGGGTCCTGGTTGTACCCACAAGCTCTGTTTTAGACTGTGTTCCTATTGTCCAATAAACCTTCTGTTTTACTGGCTGGCTGAGAGTCACGGTGAATCCCAAGAAGAGGGGTGCAGGGCCCAGACTCCCCCACACTCCGTGACAATGGTTGGCAAATATACCCAGTAGACAGTTGGCTGCTGAAGGCACCAGAAGTGTTGGGAGTGGTAAACCAAGGGAAGTTAAAGGAAACAGGGAGGAAATGGTGTATAACCATCTCCCTAAGAAAAATATTGCAAACCTGTCCAGGGAGAGTGGACTAAGCATTGGGAAGCTCAACAAGGCACAGCTGATTGCATGGCTGGAGAAGGATGATCAGTCTAAGAAGCAGGTTCCAGGCCCAAGTGGGGCTTCAAGAGAGTCTGGGAGAACCAGAGGCAGCAGCAGGATGCCCACCAGACCTGGTTCCCCATCCAGTAGGGCGGGTCTTCATGACCTGGTTTCCCATTGGTAGATTTGAAGTAGTTGGAGCTGAGAGCAAAAGAGCTGCAGCTGGAGCAGCAGAAGCTAGAGAACCGGGAGAAGCAGCAGAAGCATGAGGAAGAATAGCAGAAGCATGAACTGGAGATGGAGAAGCTATGGGGTAAGAGGACCCACCAAGAGGTAAGTGGGGAAAGGTCTATTCTTCAGGGAATCTAGATACCAAATTGTTGCTCCAGTTTAAGGAGGGGGGAATATAGATGCCTACCTCACTGCCTTTAAAAAGGCTTGCAATTTGAACCAGACTGACCCTGAGGATTGGCTCTGCTGTCTCACCACCTTACCCTGTTCCAAACCCATAGATGCATATAGCCAGATGGACAGAGTGGTTACTGGGGACTATGAACTGCTCAACAACTTTGTTGCTTAAGTTTGAATTGACCCGTGAGGCATACAGGAAAAGGTTTTGGACCTCAGGTGTAACCTACATGGAAGTAAAGGAGTACTTGTGGCACCTTAGAGACTAACAAATTTATTTGAGCATAAGCTTTCATTAGCTACAGCTCAAACAAATTTGTTAGTCTCTAAGGTGCCACAAGTACTCCTTTTCTTTTTGCGAATACAGACTAACATGGCTGCTACTCTGAAACCTACACGGAAGTGACTCAGTGCTTAATTTCTAATGAAAGAGGTGTGGGACTCAAACAATTAGGTGCCGGGGCTCAAGCAATGTTTTTACTTTCATAAGTGACGTAGCTCAGCCCTGGCAAGCCCTGGCACAAATTAAGCACTGAAGTCACCACTCTGATGGGAGAATATTTCTGCAAATGGTGTAATGGTGCAGGGGTCACTACCCTGGACGATTTGTATAACCGGGTTGGGTTGGAGCTGTTCTCACGACCTCAAAATGTGGTTAGTAGACAGGAAGTCTAAAGACCTGCAGAGTGCAGGCATGTTGGCAGATGAGTTTGTGGACAGTAGGTCCGGGTGTGAAGAAAGGGCCAAAGGGGACTGGCCTAAGCATGGAGCCGGGGAAAGGGAACCCATGGATGCATCCCAGAAGTGGAACTCAGGTAAACCCAGAGTTGGGGAGTGACTGAGGGGAACAGACCTCCTCCAAGGGATCTCAGAGACCTGAGATGCAATTTCTGCGGGCAAAAAGGGCATAAATGCAACAATGCCCAAAGACCAAGGAAATGGTGGCCAAGCAGAACCCTGAAAGGGATAACTTGGCAAATGCCCAGGACAGAGGAGCTATGTCAGCCTCTGTGTGACTAGGAAGGCAGTCTGTCACTCAGGCTCAGAGAGTGAACTATATGACTGAGTTTTTGGAGGGAAGCAGTCACACATCCAGCTCCTCAGGGACACTCCAAGCCCCAGTACACATATCCTGTTGTACTCTCCTGGGCTCAGGCACATCTGATCCCCACTGGGAGTGGAAGATGGTGGTTAATGGAAAGACATTCATGGGGTGGAGAGACTCGGGGACAGAGAGAATCCTTGTCAAACCCTGTGTGGTACAACCCCATCAAATGCTGAAGGGCTGTGTAACTTAGGTGAAGGTCCCAAATGTGAAGCCATTTGCCCCGCTTATGGCTCAGATCCCTGTGCAGAGACAGGAGGGAGCAGAGTGGCTGGTTCTCCAGGACATCAGTTTGATGTCCTTTTGGGAAATGACTGTGTCACTTTAAGACAGGATCCAGTCCCTGCACCTGGAACGACCAAGGATTTGAATCCAGGGAGCCAGAAGGCTGAGAATGCAGGTGTCAGTTAACATGCAAAAGGTCTGACTGGCAGGGAAGTGGGAGTATTCTCCCTGGCTAGTAACACAAAGGAAGAGCTGCTAATGCTAAGGGTCAGACCCCTGCCAGTCTGTAACCAGACACCTGTGGCTGAGTGGGACAGAAGATGGTCACTGTCCATCTCCACACAGGATGCTGTGACCAAAGCAACAAGCTCACTGTCTACCCTCACTGGGAAAGCAAAGGCAGAGCTGGGCACTGTGGGAGCTGAGAACCCAGCTGAGCATGGGGAGACCGAGGCAGGGCAGAACAACTGCCAATCATGCTTGCGTTGTCCAGGGGTGAGAGAGGCTCAGGGAAGGGGGAAGCAGCTGGAAGGATGCTGCTGGTAACAGATGTGCCGGGTC